CAAAATATGATAATTGTTTTTTTACCCATTTATCTGGCAACAAACTGACACCTTTTTTGACACCTTCCTTGTAAAGTTCTGTAAAAATTGTTTGTTCATTAATTTTAATGAACTTTGTTGGAAAGTTGCGCAAGCTGGAATATGCTCACTGCCTCTTATCAATAAACGTTGTATAATTCTGCTATGCTCATGTTTAATATTCAGAATTAATAAATGTGACAGAAACCTTTATGTTTTAGAATGCCGAACCATGCTGGTATCAGTGGGAACAGATGCAGTCATCGAAGCTCTCAGAAACCATCAACAAATAACTAACTGCAACTCTTAAGAGATTGTGTGAAAATATCAAGAAAATACAAAAAAAGGAATTGGCCCAGGCGATACCCCCTCAGCAAGGCTATGCACATGAATATTAGAATATATCATGTGAAAGATCAATTGAGGAAATAAATTCATGAAAATAAACGCAAATAATATCCATATCAGATTTTCTGACAACATCGTCATAGAAAAAGAATGCACAAAGAAGACTGCTAATCAGGCTTAAGATAAATATGAGCAAAACAAATCTCACTTGAATTCCATGAATATAATTACAATCTCATCTGCCTCTTCTGCATAGCTCTTTGGACCTGAGATTTTTTATACTTTATATATGTATGTTGAACTTCTTTTGCACCGTATGTAGATAACTATGCTAATCGGAGGTGCAGGAGAAAGACAACAAACTAAACACCAGTTCTCAAGAAATTAGTTTTCAATCTATATAAGTGGATAGCTCCAGTGGCTTCCTAATATTGAAAAAAATAGCATTCCAGACGGCCGCAGAAGTGCATCTGAAAGCACGCAATGCAGTGACTGTTTTTGTTCGATGGCTATCCAAAAGCCAGTGCGGGGATGACTGGAGTTTGTGTGATGGTGATGCTCCTTGACAAGATCTGCATGGTATTGTGGTTTATATGTGGCAAACACTTTGCATGTGTCAAGGAGAGAAATACGTGGTGCGCACATTTAAGCGGGTGCAACTGAGGACAAACAGGTGTGCGTGTTGCAACATGAGGTTTGCACCGACAAACCGCCAGTAATTAAGGGGAGAAGCAGGTGCAACCGAGGTCGAACAAGTGGGTACGCTGTGACCGGAGGTTGGCGTTGAAGAGATGGGAAATGGGGGGTGATGATAAGGGATTAATGGGGCAACAGGCGCCAGGCTGGTGGGAGCTTGAGGGGAAGCACATGAGGACTCGGAATGAGGTGCAGCGGCCGCAGTGTGTACGTATTCGGTTGGGCCAGCGGCGCTGGTTCGTGCATCTATTGCGGTTAAAAAGATATGTCTCGCCCTGTCCTGTCAATTAATCCCCACATCCCTTACGACCATTGTCTGATGTATCCAGCGCGCCGACCGCCACGCCTGAGGAAACGGGACGTGAGGCGGATTGTTCTGTACCGCCTACAGGACCGGAGCACCTAACGTCCACGGACGGAACATTGAGGACTCCTGCAGCGGACCATTTGTCAAACCCAAGCAAAACGATCTCTACCCGCGGGGAATGTCCTGCTGCATGCACTCGCTCGCAACACATCACTTTCCATTGATAGGAAGGACTATTCACGCCATCACATTACGCTTGTTACTGTTTATTGTTGTTATTTCATTTCCCCTTCCGTAGTCCCTGCTTACGATTATGTATTGTTCATGGGTCGGTCACAACACATGCGCGCAAGCTCGCATAGATTTGACAGCCGGGACGGCTGCGTTTTTATTCACGGGGTGGGGAGGGGGGATGATGTAGAGGAGAGAAATACGCGGTGCATGCAGTTAAGTGGGTAGAGGCAAAATCCGCATCCTCAACATGAGGCTTGCACCGACAAACCGCCAGTAATTAAGGGGAGAAGAGGGTGCAACAGAGGTCGAACAGGTGGGCACGCTGTGACCGGAGGTTAGCGTCGAAGAGACGGGAAATGGGGGGTGATGATAAGGGATTAATGGGGCAACAGGCGCCGGGCTGTCGGGAGCTTGAGGGGTAGCACGTGAGGACTCGGAATGACGGGAGACATATAAGGGGAGTGTGCGTAAGCGGAGGTGGTTGTTGCCCGGGAACCAAGAGTGAAGACATCTCGCCGATGCTGCTCCAGCCGTCAACGGGACCTCAACCCTCACGCCGTCACCAGGCGGGTGTTGGCTGAACCCCCCGCCCAGGACAGACGGGTGAGCGGGTCTGAGGGAGCGTAGGTGAGAGCAGCGGTGGAGATGCAGAGTCGCTGAGTACAAAGTTGCTGTGTGCGGAGTCGCTGAGTGCGAAGTTGCTGTGTGCTGGATAAGTGAGGTGCAGAATAGATAAGAGCGGGGAGAAGTCAAGTATATGTGACCGTACGGATAGTTATAGGAGTGCCTACAACTGGCGCAAGAACAGGTGACTACACATGTAATGAGTGCGGTATTATAATGTATTCGGCAACTGGAAGCCAATGCAACTCTGTGAGAACTGGACGGACATGGTTGGATCTTGCAGTACCCGTCACACGTGCCAGAGACTTTTTACACGCTGCAGCTTGCTGTTTTTTTTCTTATGCCAGATGTCCTGTAAAGTAGTGAATTGCAACAATATAATACCTGGTAGCTTATAATATGACACGAAAACAAAGGTTCCTCATTGCTGCTAGGTGCACTGATTGTGGCAGGTTGTTGCACTTGCAGTCCAAGAAGACACAGGCAGTTAAAGAGTCCACGTGTAATCGACTGCGACCCTCGTTTAAAATTGGCTCCCTCAATCAGCTCCACTGATTGTGTTAGGTCAGAGAACAACTGGCGTGATTGTGCATCCTTCTTGGTCACTGTCTTTGGCATTTTTGAAGTCAGCCATATCATAAAATGAAAGTGGTAGTCCTATGAAGAGTATGAGCCCTGTCACTGGAATATGGCATTCTGTACTGCATCCAGAATGCCATCGTAATGATCACTATAGAAAAGCTTGTTAAAACATGGTTAGTTTGTTTCTGACTGAAAACCTCAACAAATAATGCTGGACTTTACCCACTGGCCATGGGGTAATTTCTTATCTTTATTGTCGTAATTTATCACACACTAGACAAATAGATGCAAACACTTCTAAAATGTAGCTTCTTTGGAGGCAAGGGTTGGTGAATCATGCACATTCGTAAACTCCCAATCCGGCTGGACTGTGAGGTGGACTGAAGGTTGCGGTAAAAAAATGGGTTTTGCAAACCTGTCTATGCGGAGCTCTGAGTGTTTCCCCTCAGATGTGTGGGGTTTCTTCCAGCGTTTTGTTTGCTATGAAGCTCTTTTCCACAGATGTCCAGTAGGGGTGGGTTGGCAGCAAGTTACAACAAAGAATACAAAAAACGATAGTGCAAAGTAGAGAGAAAGTAAGAAAGTCACTAAAGTATGTAAATAAAATAATAAATGTATCACATTAATAAAGCCGAACTTGGGAAAGGCAGCAAAACAACAAAAACAGTCCCAGACGACACAAAGAAAACACACAGTACCTCAATAAAATTGCACATAAACATTGAACTATTGATACAAAGGTCAGGATCAAAGTTACAAATCACATTTGCAAATGTGATTGTATCCAACACTAATCTTCTGCTTCAGGATATTTTTGAAAGGAAGATTTACGATGTTAAGGGAGGAAACAAGCTTGTTCCAAACATTGGTGCTGTAAAGGCAAAGGCTTTGTCACCTATTCCAAATCTTGTTCTTGGGATAGCTGAAAGGCATTTAGATGGACATCTTAGGTTTCTTGGGTTTGACAATAGGGTGAAATAACTAGCTAAGTATAGCGCATATTTTCCAATAAGGATGTTATGGATGAACATGATCCAATGTAGATTTCTTCTGGCATTAAGTGGTGTCAGATTGGATTTTAAGTAGAGACCCCACTGCTTTAGGCCCATAGCATTTTGTTTGTCACTTGCATCTGCCTATGTCGGTCTCCTAGTCTTTTTCTCACCGTCCCTTGCTGTATTTCAGTTTTTCTCCTGTATCTTTCTCTGTGCCCGTCTCTATGCCAGTCTTTAGAGCCCAGCTAGGACCCACTTTTTTGCCTCCACAGAGCCCCACTTTGTGTTGAAATTACATATATTTGCTGATAATATAATGCTAATATCCCGCGATTTGTGGTCACATAGTCGTTAGGTCACTGTTCAATAAACATCTCAACCTGATTTTAGTTTTCAACCGCAGGAAATGGCAGTGTTTAGAGAATTCTGACAAGGCTTTTGGGTTCCCCTTCACCAACCCCGTACGGAGCAGCATGAAGCATGGTAAAACAACCCCTCCAAACCAACACGACATGGAGAGACCCTCATCCAGTGGATTAATAAAAGTCCATAACTTATCTCATCAGGTGATTCTGTCATTGTGGAAGCTGAGGACTATATATAGGTTAGATTTTCACCTTGACGAGGTTTCATTCTCGTTACATTTTTGCGTGAAAACATGTTTCAGTCTTTTCTACAAGTCGAGAATGTGGCCCTTTATTCTTTGCATGACATGACCACGATGCTTGTGTTGTAACACACTCAAATTCATATAAATGACTCATACATTGTAAGTGTACATACCATTGATTTGATCTTCAAGATCTCCTTGAATAATTTCCACCCCAATGGGCTCAAACCTAGTAAAAATAATTTATAATATAGCTTTTGCATTTACTTTGCTGCATCACGTAAACAATTGCGTTTCCAGATTATGCATTCACCTATTTACATCCACTTACAACTAGGTATATTTACACCAAGCCAATGTCGTTGTGTGCCCAGACTACTCAACTGTTGGCATCTCGCATGTCCTGCGTGCCAGATGCCTCATTGCACCATTGAGATGCCTTAATGGTGCAATGAGGTTCTGCCTTGGAGTCAGTCTTCCTACCAGACCCGTCTTGTTCACAAGGCCCAGCAAAACCATCTCACTTGCACAGGGATGCGATCGTTTTGTGTGCGACTTGAACACGTCATGAGTTTTCACCATGATATTTCAACTTTTCACATTTTACTTTTGCACTGTGTTTTGCGTGTCGTAAAAATCACATCAGCTACACCAATAAATGATAAGAAAAATCAAAGCATCACAAGGCAAAACACTGGTCAAGTGAATATTTCATTTTGTTTAAAAGAATTCACTCTTTTCATTTGTAAACATGTCAATAATACAGTATTTTTTTCAGCAGCCTTTATTTTGGGGCCCTTTTCTGCCAGTATTAAAGTATGAAAAATAAGAATAGGTTTTACCCTTTCTGGTAATACAACAGGTGTTAAGATGCTCTGGCAAAAAAGGCCCCATGATATAGCTGCTCAGCCCCAGCTATGAATGCTCCGATATGTGCATTGTCTTTGTACTCTTCACCTTTTGCCGTTCTTTGGTCTGACACTCGTGATAATCAAGTCTATTAACCACGCGTACCACCACAAGTACGTGTGGTTATCACAAGAACGTGTAATTAAACGATAAAAGAGAATCAAGCACTCGTAGTATGTGTGGTTAATACAGACTTGATTCCTTTCAAAATATATCTATTTGGTGTTTGAACATCTTAACACCTGTTTTATTGCCAAAAAGGGTAAAACCTATTCTAATTTTTTAATCTTTATTTTGTTCAACATGTACCTCTTCAGCTTTGAGTGTACACGAATTAGGCTACATTGGTTAAAAATACACATACCAGATTGCCATTTATTAGCTCTCCTAATCACATTGAGCACAGAAACTTCTAAAAAACTGTGACAATGGTAGGAGTCACGGGCGACTTATCGTAGGTAAAATATATAATAAACTCCATTGTAAAATCTTATCAACCAGCTTTTCTAATCTTGCTTGTGGTTGAATTCTGCAGGTTGCACAACAGATGACTGGTGGAAACGGTCACGCGAGGCAAAATCCGCATTCTCCTGCGTGAGCTGCGTGGTTGAGAGGCCCATCGGCAGGAGGGATGGAGTCACGACAAACTGCTCCTTCGGTGCTGGTCCTCTCCTGAAATGAGTGGCACAACAACGGGTATTCATCAGCAATGGGCACATGGAACTTTCAGTTTAATTTGACTCGGGGTTTAGGTCACCGATTGGGAGAAGCAGCAAGATATGTGGCTCCATCCCAAACTAATTCACTGTAGAGTTAAATGTTTAAATTTCTATCTAAATATATCACAGTCAAGCATAGCAAACAATTGTTGCGTGTAAAGTGATCGGTTACAATGGTAATTATTTTCGTCAGCTATGTTCTATCCACTGCTAGATGAAGGCCTTCCCACACTATAGCCATTTCACAGTCCCAAGAAGCCACAACCAGTTTCAACAACACCCGAAAACGTGCACTGCATGTGCAAAAGCTCTCAGCCTCATCCATGATGTGACATACAACAGTTCCTGAAGACATTCATTGTGGTTATCTTGTCCTAAGTCACCATTAATACATTGTGCAAATGTGAACAACCAACAGGCAGCAGCTTGACAAAGAGTGAACTCTTCTTGGTTCTTTCGGTAAAGTCACGTAGAAGGAAAATAATAAAATAATAAAAATAAAACATAATAAAATACAATTCTCATGACATTTCGGCCACAACGCAAGAGGACGGCTGCTTGCGTTGTGGCCGAAACGTCGTGAGAATTATATTTTATTATGTTTTATTTTTATTATTTTATTTTATTATTTCCCTTCTATGTGACTTTACCGAAAGAACCAAGAAGATGAATCCCTGCAGTCACGAAAGCTTTAAATCGAAAAAGAGTGAGCTGTAGACCGGTTTCGTCCTCAGGGCTCATTAGGGCTGATCAGTACAGTTTCATCACCAATGCTCAGTCACCAATTCCAAGTGATAGACTTGGCATAAGTGAGAATTTCAGCCTGTACTGCATTGATGAGTCCTAAGAACGACAAAACCAGTCTATACTTTTTCTCTCTCACTGCTGCCTGTTAGTCACATTTGATATTCGTTTTTCCAGCCTGCAGAAACTTTGTTTTTGTTGCGATGGGTTTTCTCAACAGTCACAGGTTTTAATTATTAATGCCACAACTTCTCTCTCTGTCCCACACCATGAGCTGCTCTGATTGTGCCATACATCTGGGGCGGTCAGCCTCTCGAGCATGCTCCTCTGCTTTGGCTGCCATTACATCAACGGTCTCATCCTTCGGCCATCATCCCTTCAGTATATCCTAAATGGGTAGGTACCCGAGTTCACCGAACTATGCAGTTGTAGCACTTATGTGTGAACACTGGTAAACACAATATGTGATTTCAGCATTGTAGGAAGCATTGGTCGGCATGAGTCCAGCTCTGTGCTTTGTCCTGTACAGCAATCCGTCGCCAATCGCGAACTTGCCAACCGCGGAATTCATGTACACATGGTTTATTATCTCTATACAAATGTACCAAATGCTGTTTGCTAATGTTATGCATGCACAGGTAAGCACACGGTTCTCCTCCTGCGTCAACGCGCCACTTGTGGCGTTGCGTCGCAGCTCATCAGCTGTCCGTCTGTCTGTTGTGATTCTCACAGGGTATGGACCGCGTCGCATTGCAACTGCACACTTAGCTTCTGTTTGTTGTGGGCTGAGCCCCTTCCCCTTTCGAACCACCCCATTATCTCATTGTCATCATCATTGTCGTAATTACCGGCATCTACCCTCAATATTAAAAACAAGTATGGAAAGTTAAATTTATGTTTTATTATGTAATTGTGTAATGTACAGTATTTTATTCGGTGTTTAGTGAATAAACAGGTGACTTAGTTAAGCTATGACGATTTTGACCGTGGCTGTGGTTCCCCTAACCCCCTATTTCCCATAGGCCCTGTACATTATCAACCGCAGATTTGCCTACCACGGCCTTATCCAGGAACATAATACCTGTGGTTGGTGAGGGATTGCTGTAATAGTAAGAAAAATAGTAAGAATATACAGTAATTATTGTTAATATGAAGAATAGCACCATAATTATCACGATTTGTGAGCACTAGCGCATAAGCATTTGGCAGCGAGAACGTATGCACAATCCCTAGCAAACATCAATACATAGAAAACAGAAGCACTTACAAGGTCGAGTGAACGTTATTAAGCGCTAGACAAAAATAATTATGGGTAAGCACGCATGCTCCATAGGACTATCAATCACAACCGTTATTAGAATAGTAACGTGATGTATTAATGCATTACCTTACCGCAGCAGAGCCATATAAATGGAATTGTCACACTGCCTTAATTTGCATATAAACGGTCAAGACAAAAAGCGCTGCTAAAAAGGAATACCTGAATAGAAAAGCCTCAGTGCACCTAAACCTTGCTAGACAAATTATGTGATGATGCTGCTGCGTTAACAGTAGTGCACAAGCACAATTAACAAACAAACTTATGCTCATCAACACCACTGCCTTAAAAGAAAAATATACATTTCATCAACAGCGTTTTAGGCAATGGGTCGCAACCAAAATAACAAGAGCCATTTTTTTCGAATTTAGGAACAAAAACACTAAATCAAGAGCCACCAATGCATGTGAATACGAGACAAAGAGTTAAGGGTCATATTCTTGGTTATTTCGCTAAAGTCACGTAGAAGGGAAATAATAACATCATAAAAATTAAACAATACAATTCTCACGACGTTTTAAATAGGCATATTAATAGCTATCAAGTACCAGACACACCCTTCAATAATAGAAAATATGACTAAATAAACTCGTATAAAAAGTAACGTTCGAAAATGTTGCTGGCACAATGCATTGTGGGAAGGTTTGTTCATGTAAGAACAAGGCTTCGCGTTCCTGAGCTAAATGAGCCTGTCAATAAAGGAATTTGACTGCATATCGTGCTAGATAGACAAATACGGCAGTGACGTGTTATTTGAATCAGGCATTGGCGTCATCAGTTTACAACTGATTATATAATCTGATTTCAGGGAGTGTAAAATTCGATTTTTACGTCACATTAGCTGCCCTCGCACTTCTATTCATAGTACTAAAGCAGGTATGGGAGGAGTAAGTAACTGAGAAACGTACTCTTTGGTTTTTTCGGTAAAGTCACGTAGGTAAAGAATTTAAATAAATTAAATCACGACGTTTCGGAGGCAACACAAGCTTCCGTCTTCAGGTGGAACCGTCACAGCAAAATTACTGTGAATTTATTTTAATTTTGTACCTACGTGACTTTACCGAAAAACCAAAGAGTATGAATCCTTGCAGTCACGAAAACTTCAAATCTAGAACTGAGAAACGCTTTAATTGGCCGACAGAATAGAACTTGCATTAAAACATTTATTACATTATATTCTCAATTGCACCAAAAATGTATTGCCACTCTTTTTGGTTGTGCCCTGTTGATAGATAGTTGAGTTTTGGACATTATTTCTGAAATACGATTACATTACAATGAAGGTGAGAGGTGTAAAATAAATGTTTGTCTTTCCCCACTGCTAAAAGTAAAAAGTGACATTGGCCCGAATTGAAACAAAAGTTACATGTATATCAATGAAACATGGAAATTATGTAAGCATTTTTGGAATGGCAGCCAAAGCAGAGGGAGACCACCAAGGAAGTAAGATTTAGAATGAAATCAGCTCATGTACAGAAGATGGTTTGTGGCATTACGGAACCGTAAGCAATGGCAACAACCTGGACCGGCTCTTCATCCAGCAGTGGATATTTTATCACCATTACTTTTTCTCTTCACATTGATACAATTGGTAATTTGAGCATTTATTTACCTGCACATTCTCAGGAACAAGGACTTTATCCAAGTGAAAAAGTTGAAGTCTGTTGCAATACCTGCAAATAAAGAGTGCAATTTTACGGCAAATAAAGTGCAATTTTAAGCAACGATGTACTAGGTTCTGTCATTTTTCTAAACTACACGCATCATACATTTATATCAAGCAAAACAATAAGGGACTGAGTTGATTGATATTGGTGCACAAGCACAAATAAAATAATCCCACCACAATCATAATTATTATCTCTGTCTAATAATGTAAACACAATTAACTGACATTTTTGCCAATAGCTCTTCTGCAGATCAAACAGCAATTTTTTTTAAAAAGTTTATCAAATACAAATCCTCATGACATTCTTTTTATTCTCATTGTGCATACAGTAAGTCCGAGCTTAATGTGAGTTCACAACGCACAATGTGGAACGCGCACCGTTATAATGCGGAACGGGCATCGTTATAACATGGAATACGCCAATTTCTTATGCGGTTTCTGAGCACTCGACGACGAACAAGTGCGGGGATGAGCGGAATGATCCAGTAACGTTATTTGTCCCGCCGTCGTACTGCGTGTGCGTACGTCGCATCCTCCCAAACTTATCGTTCGTTACATTCCGTGTTTTTCGCTCAACGCGGCACTTTTGAGTCATGGATCTGCCGCTTTCAACGAGGGCTATTACTGTATTTGTCTATACCGTATTATTAGGAACATAATATTTGGCCTGCAATCACTTCATTGTTGAGGGGTTCTCTCCAACATCCCTTTGTCGTGGTGCCTCGAGATGTACAGGCGCGGTATAATGTGTGCGACTAATACGACGACGGTGATGATGACTTGAATGGCTCAGGAGTTGTTGCTCTACGCCTCGCTCACCTGGAGGCAACCCTGGGCTCGACTGGCCGATGTAAATGAGCAGCAGCAGCGCCACCACGAGGTTGACGAGCGCATAGATCCACTGGATGACCATCATGACCACGAGACAGACGAGCATCTGGGGGCACACGCACCGCACCGTTTTCACTGAGGCATCACATGTCAGTAAGGACCATGATTATTCGCCCGCCATAGCCAGCGGCGGTTGCCAAGTCCTTAAATTGGAAAGTTACCAAACGAACCTCAAAAAATCGTGAGATGTCGTAAGACAACGTTTTAAAAATGTTTGTAAGGCAAGTTATCCATGATTTAACGGAGTAAACTGACACAGGATGTTTTAATACAAGCCTGAAGTCACTCCTAAATCGGCAGCATGTCCTCGTCCCAGAAAGTTGTTCGATTTGTAAAATTTGATTTGACAATGCTACCGTTAAGGGAAATCCAAAAAGTTGCTGGATAATGACTCCACCATATCCTGTATACTGTTTCTCAAATTGTATTCACTGCATTAATATCAATAAAAATGTACAAGCAAGTGTGTGTGAACAGTAGATACATAATCACATGGATGATTGTCACATTGTCTTCTGTGGTTTACAATCGCCACTTGCAAAGCAGCTTCTAATCAAGCCAACTTGTTACTCCAAATATCCAATATATGTATTTTAAATTAAGGGTGCTGTGTACTATACATATATTGCTAAATATTACAGCTTGGACAATTAGTTCAAGTAAACAATCATTAATTGGCTGATAACAAATTAATATCTAGAGGACTGCAGAGCTTGGGCGATTGTTGGCACCGGCTCACTGCCGACTTGTCTGTGGTTCCTCCTCGCGCCTGAGTCGCTCTCTCTCTCTCTGAGAGTGAATCAATGCTGTGCACGTCAGAAGTTTAAATTATTATTAGTCAGCAAAACATTGTAGTCGACTACTTTTGTGGACGATTACTCAGGCCCTTCTAAACATGGCAGATGCCTCGACGTCCCACCTCCCGTGGGCAGGAAACCCTCTGCAAGTGTGACGCGGCTGATGACGACGATGATAATATCAATACGCCTCGCCCATCACCTCCCGTCCAGCGGCACGTGTGGCGACAGAGATGAATTTTTTTCCCAACTTTTACGTAATCTGATTATTCAAGTAATCCATTCGATAATTGGGAATGTAATAATTTCAATAATCGGATTTCCCTGCTCTTAATAAATGTGAAAACATAAGGGCACCTACGTGTCAATTGCACACTTAAATTTTAGTATGTTTGACAGCAATAAAAAATGACATAAAGGAGTCATTGTTCTCTTCCAGATCATATTCAGGCAAGTTTGATATTTCTGCATGGGAGTTGTTTATATACAACTGTCCGCCCATACAGTGTTCTTTCCATGTGGATGTTTTTGACACAATTATATCGGTATTTTATATTTGAAAGGGCACAGTGGACTGCAACGGCATTTCAGTACATTTGATGCAGAATAAAACATACCCCAAGCAAGGAAACCCAGCGATTGCACATTTTTGCGTAGAATTTGTTTGACATTTGGCTGATTTCTGCCTCCCATGGGTTTCGTGATTCTGCAATATCTGTTAAAAAAACACAGGTGATATTTTTAGTAACGGTGCATAATTATGACTGGGAAAATAAGAATCGCAAGACAAAAGCAAAAAGGATAAACCATGACAGTTTGTAAAATATTGAGCCAGCATATTTGATAATACATTGAGCAAACAAGATATTTCACATTCGTTCATCACCTTTCTTTGAGTCACTTTCTGATGAGCCTCTCTTGAGTTGCCACTTAGGTTTACTTTGTGGTTCCTGCTGGGAAGAATCCGACGAAGAGGCTAGGTCTTGAAGGGGATCTTGGTGGATCGTCTGCTCGTCACTCTCGGCTGAAACGTCATTCATTGGATCAACATATTTTCTCTTCTCGGGATCATTTGTCTTAAACATCTGTCCTTCCAGGTCCAGCATGAAGCTGTCCTGTAACGTCTCCTTGGCCGCCTTACGAGATCGACCTCTTTTGGGCGCCTGCTGCTGACCACTGTTGGCGTCAGCCTTAGAACTGCCAGAGGACTCCTTGGGAAACAAAAGGTCCATGTCCTTGGTGAACTCCTGCAGTGAACCCTGGCCCGCAGCCCTGTTTGCGCCGTTGCCATCGCCGTTGCTGTCGATCAGAGGCTGGTAGCCGCTTGCGTTTGGCTGTCCAGACCTGATGCCACCTGCAACCTGCGGCTTGGGCTGCATCTTTACGCCACCAGAGGCCAGCCTCAGCCTTCGCTCCTGCTGCTCATCGTAGCTCATGGCGAGCGCGAAGTAAGAGTAGTCAATGGTGGCGTAGGTGAGCAGAAAGTTGATGGTGACGATGGGCGCAAGGATGTTGACCTGGCCTACGAATATGAAGGCTGTGGTAATGACGCCCACCACACCAATAGCATAAACAGGTGTCTTGTTTGGGCCATGCTGTGGAGAGGACATATGAAAGATTGTATTGAATAACAGTACTTGGAAATTAAGGACAATTCCACAAAGAGGCATGGAGATATATGTGCTTGGAGCTTAACTGAGAGTAAAAAGAATATGGATTGGAGAAAATATGTAAGTTATAAGCATCATATTGACTGTTCGGACAAGTGGGCTTGGGGAGGACATGTCACTCGAATGGATGATGGCCGGTGGTCAACACGAATGATGGACTGCCAGTCAACGAAGGGAACATGCCTGAGAGGATGTCCACTGCTCATGTGCAGGTGCTAGACATGTTGTTGTATCACAAGATGGTAAGAAATGGCAATAGCTTGGGGGGGGGGGGGGGAGGCTTCATCCAGAAATGGATTGGTCACGGTTGATGATAGCAAATAAAATTTAGTTTTGGGACGCTGCAGGTGTTTTAGCTCAGAGAAACACGTGTTTATTAGGTGAAGTGTCAGACGCACCCCTCGGCCGAGGACTTCGATGATGGGTATAACCCGCTCCTGGGCGATGCACTGCAGGATGCGTGGCGCTCCGTAAAGCCCCGTCATGCAGGAGGCCAGCGAGGAGATATACAGCCCCACCAGGAAGAGGAATCCCACCAGAGACACCTAACACATTGAACCCCAGCGTATAACATACATTATAGTCCACAGAAGCTACTGCGTTATTATTTGGTTAAAAATACCAAATATTCCGATTTGTTGAGGCAGATCATTATACTCCACGTAACATGCTGCAGTGGTGTAATGTTTGGCACACTGGACTTGCAATCCAGAGGTAGCCAGGTTCAATTTTTAAGAACTGCAACTGAAATAATTGGCAAGATTCCTGTCCCACCCCAGCAGTATAAATGGGGACACCACAGTCAATCGGCAGGTCGTGTGTGGTGGGGCAGGGTGTCTATACTCCCATCTCGTCCAAGACATCTGTCCAGTGTGGAAGAGTAAGCATAGTACCCTCTTGACGGGCTCTCTCGAGCCAGCAGTGGCGTGAACAAGAAATGACAGGGCTGCACATCTACCTTTTATATTACACGTTAAATAATGAAAAAACAATAAATACACAAAATGTGTGTGATTAAACCCCCCATGTCATAATATTCGATATAATGAGTTTAGAATGAAGGGTCGCACTTTCTCTGCGATCATGAAGTCAACGCGAAGAGCCTCCCGGGTGCATGTGGCTCCAAGCAGCAGCACAAATACGAGGTAGAGGAACCACCTGGACAGGCAGCGGGAGAGGGCACGCAGGTGTCACACATGGAATTGTTTCAAGCGGAAATATTTATTTCGGCACGAGTCATTACTATTTGAAAAGTAGCTCTGTGGCAGTTAGTTTATATGCCAAGTATTCTTTAATTTAGCACGTAATTTTTTTATGCTTTTAGAGAAATATTGAATAATAGTGGATAGTTTAAATTATTGAAAAGATTGCCAAAATTCATTCCATTTTAAATCAACACAGTTCATATTTTAACAATAACCCTGACTCTAAACTCCAAAATGTTACGTATGCCTGTTGTTTTAACCTCCATTGAAAAAAAAAAGTATAAAAAAGTTAATGTGCTTGCAATGCTTAAATATTTTAAAAGCATTATTTCTGTTCAGGAGACCATAGCAAATACATTCAAATATGTTAATACTGGGCAAGCAAGCCAGTACCACATGTGATGTGTAGACAGACCCACCAGGGGTCGGTCTCATGCCCCTCTCCTCCTGCCCTTGACATGCATTTGGTTTAGTTAATAAAATAAGCAATGTGAGCAACAACAAAGAAACAAGGTGACAACTATGTATGTGTGTGTATGCAGGTTGTATGTATGTGTGTATGTATGTTGAACTTCTTTTGCACCATACATCGCCAACCGTGCTAATTGGAGGTGCGGGTGAAAGACAACAAACTAAACACAAAAAGCAGTTCTAAAGAGATGAGTTTTCAACAATCACTATTCTTCATCACTTCACTTCTTTTGTTAATTAGCCTAAACTATATTTATTTAGTTTATATTATATTATACTTACAATTAATATGCATACTTTAATGTCTGATTAATGAAGCATTGTCTGAGTAGCTGCAACAAACTATAATGCTGGCATTGTTGGCTTTTTTTAGACATCTTGAGTGTTAATAAAAAAAAAAGTCATAAAAATTGCTATGATACGACTCAATGCACGTTGATCTGAAACTACCACGTGCGGCAGTTTAGACTACTCTCGATTGCAATTAACTCACCCTGAACCAATTTTTCCCTTTAATTATTCACTTTTGTTTTCACAGCCATTGGCATGCAAAGTTTTCAGTTTTAAAGGATTAAATTGGGCGGGGGTCACAATACATCCGGACCACCATGTATGAAACAGGAGCCTCGGCGTGTTCCACTAGGGGGCGACACTGCAGGGCACTCCGCGTCCCAAGCATCTCGCACTCACGTGATGCCAATTGCAGCCAGGGACCCCACGGGAATGTTTTTGGATGGCGTCTTGAGGTCTCCACTCATGTTGAAACCGGCCATCACACCTGAGGCACGCAACAGTCAAATTTATTACGTAGAATTTTTTTTACGTAAAAATGTCATTGCCCAGAAAATAGGTTTTTTTTCAGTGTAGACAATAAGTGGATGAAAAAAGTGAATTTGTTTTAGTTTATTTTGTGGCCCTCTGTGGGGCAAACGATACAATGAACACGATCAAAAGTTGCCCGTCAAGTTTCCAATGAAGTTATCGTGGGTTATCTTCAGTAAACTGGGGGAATTAGCTAAGAATTACAGTCCTCTACTGGAGCTATTAAAAGCAATTGATCTATATGAATGTAATAATGTAGTTACCATGCCCTGTGATTAGTAATTGCTCCGATAGAGGAATGTGGCAAGAAAAAATTGCGTGTTCATGCTCCTGCTAATGGAAGGGCCTCGATTCGAGGGAACTCCAGAAAGCCTCTCTAGACCATCCGTCTTGGAAGAGGAGCGAGTACCCAAACTTTACCCTACCGTACAGGACCTGCAGATCGACTAACTGTGGTGTCATTATACTGCTGGATGTACAGAGGCGACGGCAGGTCGACCGGTGACCTCTGTTGAGTGTGCTAAACATTACTCAATAGTAGCCTATACCATAATCAGTCTCTGCATAAGTTTGACACATCTGCTTACCAGTTGCGGTGGGGAAGAAGACCCCAAACACCGTGAAAAAGCTCTCCCCAGGGGTGTAGTCCGGGAAGGTGTTGTTTTTCAACAGTTCTTCGGTGTAGCCCACAAATCCATTCTCTGCACACACGCATGCACAGTGCCACTGAAAATGCCAGCATTTTTGTTGTTCTTGTCATATCTAACTTTCAGAACAGTTACATACAGGAACGCTGAATAGGACAATGCGATCACCATCGTCACAGACCATTCAAATTGTTTGCAGGCCACACTTATGTCTTTGTCAAGGACATGCCGTTTTGTTTAGGGTCACTCTGACTAGTGCCGTTAATTTGGCGACAGTGCTGGCAAACAATGCCCTAATCTTTCAAATAGCGGTATGGGATTTCTTAAAATTCCACGTGCAAAGCGGACTATGTTTTACACAGTTGGACTCCACCAGCATATTGTTTGACACCGGAACAAGCATGCTCGACATCTGGACACAAATACCATAGTTTTTAAACTCTACAAAAGAGCTCATACCATGGTCTAGTTTTCCAAGTCTAACGTTCATCAATTTCAAATAACGTAGACCACTTGCTTCATATGTGCATTGACACGTACTGTATAAAATAAATTGCAAAAAAATGTTGGCATTAAAAGCTATCCTCTGGTTGTTCCCCAGGGCTAGACGTTGAGTACCGAGGCTCTATGCCACGTATCCAATCACCCACGTGTTAACACCCTGTCAACCAGTCCATAAACCTTTCCACATTTGCTCCTGTACACATAGCCATATACTGGAGAAAACCACCACTGGGATGGAAGTGGTGCAAGGGTAAATTTGAGTGTGAATGTGGCTTGAACAGCCAATACAGACGTACATGCCTGACCTTCCCAAGTGTGCTTGCCACCTTTGGCAACAGCTCTCTTTGGCACGAATTCACGTGTAACATAAAAACCGCCGTTCACCACTAAGTGCTGGTGATATCACCACGGCACTTGTGCTATGCGAGGTGCACTTTGAGGCCAGGTGAAGTGATGAAGGCCGGCTGGCAGGAGGTCATGGAACAAACCCAGGTGCCACGAGTTGACTGCGATGATTGGCAGATGCGCCAACTGTGTTCTCCACTGTGCAAAACTCTCTGCGCTTTTGCCGCTGGCCGCTCTGCTCGTTTTTGAGAGCGTCGCTCCTCTGGCCTGCATTGTTGCTGGAGGATAACTGCCTCCAAATCCTCAGCAGCATCCTTCACGAACCTCCTCCACAGAGGCCAATCTTGACACTGCTGGCACCATTCATCGGCAAGTCCAATCAGCTCCACCTCCTTCTGTACCACATCAGTCCATCTCTTTTCTAGACCATGTCACGTGTGTACACACACACATCCACGGTGTAAAGTGATTGGCACGGGACTTGGTACAAGAGATGAAATGGGGAAATCCCTGTCTGCCTTCCGTTCCCTCCCCCCTCCCCCCTCTTCATAACCCTCCAACCTGTGGGCCACGTTACAGTTGCACCGCCTGCACACTCCATAGCTCGGCCACTCGCACGCACCGGGGTCAAGGTGCGTGAAGGAGCCAATGACGAAGTCGAGCATGGACACGGCGAGCAGCGCCAGCAGCACGAGTTGCAGGCGGATGACCCACTTCACCCCGGCCAGGTTGATGCCAAGGAGGCCCAGCACGACCCCGATGGCGATGCCACGCACCGCCCAGATGTTGGATAGCCCGAACGTGTCGGCCACAGACTCGGCGAAGCCCGTCACGTACAGAGCGCCCACTACGCACTGAGCAGCAGCCGCAGTAGAGATGGGAAATTAGATTGTGTCTGCATCTACCGTGCAGCAGTTGCAACTCGCTCCGTTTAAATAACGTCATCCTTATGCACTGCACCACAGCAAGTGTTATGTTATTGATACAATCTTGAAAGTACATACACTGCAAATATGTATTGAGTGTTCAGATCAATTAATTTACCTATACTGTATTTAGAACCAGGTGAGACCTTTTAGACAAAGGTCCCGATTGCAGGGGGTACCTGTACATACAAGCTCGTGGAGTTTGATGGGTTAACAAATGTACATCGGCCAAGGATATGGAGGTCAACCATCGACACATTCTGTGAATTATTATTTTTTTCCTTTTCCAGGCCACTTCGAACGATTCCTCCCCAGCATTTTCCGTCGGCGGCGCGGCGGGTGCGCCCGTCACCTGCCCAAAGACGTAGAGCAGGCCGATGGTGCCGCCAACCTTCCCTCCGAGCACGGTGGAAATCATGAAGTAGATGCCGCCGCTGCCGATCTTGCAGCGCTCGCACACGCCGATGCCCGAGAGCACGGACACCAGGGCCACGAGGATCACGAGGAACACCATGAGCACCCCCAGCAGCACGCCGGCATTTCCCTGGCACGGGCAGTCATGGCGAGCCAAGTACTCTGGCCGTCAATGGGAGTGACGGCTCGCACGGTGACACAGGAAGCAGTCGCGCCAGACGTTTCATGACTGCAGGAATTCGATCGAAACGTCGTGGGTGTTTTTTATTTTAATTTTGATTTTTGTTTTCTATCTCCGTGACTTTACCAAAAGAACCAAGAATTCGTATGCATATTGCCCTCGTTCAAATTATACTATAATGCCAATAGCCGGTGAGAACTGTATGCCAATGTGAGCTGACAGAAAAGCCGGATGGTCTAAACGAGGAAGGGGTATTTGTTAGGATGGAATGTCCATAGAAGTTATTCAGAAAGCGGTGCTTAATTTTGACGAAGTTATCTGGGTGCCGACATGAATGTTATTATTGACTGACTATCACCATCTACGTTTAATACATTAGAAATACAAATACAATGCTGTGGGTCTATATCAGGCTGTGAAATTCGTTTAAAGAGGTAGTAATAGGATTATTTTTGGATAATTGTATTATTTTCCCTGTAATGTAACATGTGGAAGACTGCTGTGGTATTAGGATTTGTATAAAACTGTTAAGCGGTCTTATTTAACATATTAATTTAACATTGTGATCCAGGACACCGTAGCTCATCCTTATTTAAACAACCATTATAAACAAATAAAATGTCTGTACGAACGTTATTTGAAAATACACAAAAGAACAGCACTAACGCCTTTCACTTTGATCTAAGGACATGTGTCTTCAAAAAGTTTTAATTCTATTCAGCGTACTGTGGTTAAAGCAGAGTAATGGATAATTGTCATTATTTGTTTTTGGGGTTTGGACACATATCCGTTACGTGGTTGTTTTGTTTCAGACTACAAGTTACATTTCAGGAGCAGTGGCTCTAGACCTGTAAAACCAGAATGCACGGGTCAAGAAAAAAACCCTGTCGGGTAAGGATAAAATATGCGACACGTGTAGCACAATGTCTGCTCGTGTGACATGATTGCCGTTTCAGCATAAATACCATAATGATCTCACGAGTTTTTAATTTAATTACCAGCAACAATGTTGAATATTAAAAAAATCCCAGTATTTTTTTTTACAGACTGTGGATTAATCTGGAATAGGGCCAGGGCAGCTCCAAGAAATAAACAGGACAGTTGGCTCCATGCCCTCAAGGCCTCACAGCTTTTGCAACGGGTGGACTAATATACTGCACATGTAACCAAACTGAACTAATGACAGAGCTATACAATATGTTTGTACTATGTAGGAGAGCCTTATCTACTTTTGCATTGTTTGGAGAACACCATTTTACAGTGTTATAGGAGATTGCTTGACAATTTTTTGGCATATGATGTAGTGGTTTTTTCATTTTAAACATATATTATTATATATGTATAGCAGCAGCCCTGTTCTTCCCATGCTCTTTAGATGTGAAATCAACATACCCTTCAACCTTCATAAATATTCTAAAGGAATTTGCGTGCGTCCGTCGAGCAAATGTACCTCACCCAAGGGCTACAGCCAATGACCCTTGAGCCGGAACGGATTTGTGCTCGCCTGTGACATGACGCACGTCTGCCACATGGTAATTCATGCTCTGTGTTTCATCTAGCGAGGCTGCTGTAACCACCATACAGCAAAAACACAAAATTACTGCAAAGAGTTTCCTTGATTTACGTACGGGAGACGTGGACGCTTAAAAAACAATAATTGCTTCTATCCCTGGTGGTTTGTTTTGTTGGAGAGATAAATTGGTAATTTCTGTTTGCACGCACAAATGTTCTGGAGCGTTTCGCTCTCCATTTGGGAAATGTCAACTTATTCGGGCCAGTGAAAGGCTCTTTGAGGCTCTAGGTTAGTAAAACCTGCTGCATTTACTCTTTGGGAATGCACTTTGCATGCGTACTTTTCAATGCACACATTGCGTTCATAATGGATAATTTTATCCATATGCTGGTTCTTAGACATTTAACTACTCACCCCCCCCCATTCCCTAGTAATTTATTTATATTCAGGAATCGCTTCTCTTTTTCACAATGCAATTAATGTAGCAGCCTCAAGAGACTGCAGGGATCACGTGAACCCATTGCATACAACATACAAATAAGAAACACATTAATCAGGACAGGCAATACGATGCATGTATCATTTAGTTTAAGGATTCATATTCATTGATCAATTGCTGCATCTTTACAATCATACTGGCTATTTACTATTGAGCTGTTAAAGAAGTGAACATTTAAATATGTTCTTTGCACCTAAAAAATCCTTGATGCAAGTGAATACAACATGATTAAAGGAGAGTCTTGCAGAAAAGCGTTGCACTTTCTGCATTGAGGCTACAGTCGGTTTTGGGGATGTTTTCACCATTCTTAGAAATCATTTACCATTACTATTATATTTCAGAATGTTTGAGGCGAATACAAAATTAAAATTAATTTACAGTATGGTGATTTTATGGAACATTCTTTCTTGGGAACAGGAAAGAGTAGGCTACTAAACTCTTTTAAAAACACAAATGTACTTCTCTAATACGCAGCGATTCCAGGTGGAAAATCCATCCACAACTGTTTTTATACCATTGCTCTGCTTTTATAACCTGAGGTTAACTTTTCTGACACATATTGCTTTAAACCCAGAAAAAAGTCAAAAGGCTCAAGAGGCCCGGTTTTAACGGTCGGTACTCCGAACGTGTGTCCTTCTGCTCCATGGGAGGGTTCTGTCCCCTCTGAGCTCACCTTAGGACACCTACATTACCGTTTGGCAGGTGTTATCGCCCCCCCCCCCTCCCCCCGTCAAACTCCCTGCCAGACACTGTCCCTGGAGCGGGACACGTCTCAAACGTAATTTTGAGTGGAAAACTGTCGATCGTAAAATATGTAAAGGCCTTTTACTGTTGTTACATTCAATGATAGAGTACTGCGATCATACTGCAAGAATAAAAGTTTAACAGATATTTAAAAAGTAGCGCTATTATTTTTTCTTCCTAAACTTCTTTGATTTCACAAGTATTCATACCTAGGTTATTGTACACTACGACAAAAAAATACCTATGTATATGTAATGTCTAGAAATGTTTCACTCTTTACAAAAAAGTTAGGCTTAGCACAGACTCCGAACACGTGCATGGCATGGTCTTTAACAAAAGGTATGCACTGTGAGGCCTGGAGCGCCCATCTCAACCTCTCGTGTAGGTCACTCGGTGAGCCGGACATGAAAATAAAATTGGTATAGGCAAATTCCGTAGAATTTGCAAATGCAGGTGCACATCATTAGACCAGGTGGGTAACAAGTGCATTTCTTGAATTACACGGGTTAAATATTTTAAGTGACATAGAATTACTTAATCCACCTGATTACGTGGAACTGAGTGTCATCAAGCTGCCAATAACCACTCTGCAAACACTGACCATTAATAGCATAGCATATCATCTTAATGTCATGCTTGTTTGGCCTCTATGCACACTTACATATGTACATGTGCAATACAGTACTGTACTTAAGTCTGGGGGAATTTTTGTTTAATTAGATGGACCAGAAATCTGATAAACGTTAGGTTTATATGGATGAGTAAGAGACTGCACAGAAGATCAAACTTCCTCTAAGGTTCTGTCTAGACCAACACAGGAAATGCACTGTTTGCCTAACCAGATCTGACGATTGAGCACCAATTAAAAAAAAGTTTCGGCCAATTCCGCTAATAGCCCCACCGACTTGGAGCCTCCCTGGTCCCAGCCCAGCCTACCACCAGCCAGCCTGTGCGCAGGAAGATCACAACCCCGAAGATGTTGATCATGCAGGAGGTGAAGACACCGTCCCACATGCCGAAGAGCACGGGCTCCCGCACGAAGAACTGGCTCCTCCACCAGGGGGTCCGGCTACCCGCAGCGCTCTGCACCAGCACAGGGGCGGTGGAAAGGAGCTGCGAGGTTAGACAGGGGCACGTTTCCTGGGGCTAGTTAGATGAGGAGAGGTTTCATCGGCTGACTTGGGATTTTGTGGTCTGCATGGGACGTTGAAGAGCATTGTGCAGAGGTGTACACAGCATTTTCATCACCCCCCCCGCCCCAGCAAGCATGCAAGGTTTAAAACAAATAAATTATGAAACTGGATCTACGATTCAGCCAAACACTAACAAGAGAGCAGCAAAATGCACTACTACTAAGGGATGTGCTACATTGCACACTATGGTGAACAGCCTCAGAGCAAAAAAAAAAGCATTTCATTGCAAATCTAAGATAAGATAACAAAACAGATAAGCAGACAATAGGGGTATCCGTTATATGTTTGTCTTAGCACAAGATAAGATAAATTATATTTAGGAAGCCACTGGCAACGCACATTGCATGCCTAAATAATGAACACTCAGCCATAGCCTGAACTCGGCAGTGACAACTGCCAAGGCCCCTTCCTGAGCCATCCGTGTAGCATTCAGTTGTCATTGCAGTTTGGTACCACAAAAGCAAATCGTGCTGTAGTGTCACAATATCAACATCGTCGCCAATGGATAATGATGTTCATTGCCAGTTTGGCTGGGTAGCCATTGAAGAGAGTATCTTAGCTCAATGGGCTTCAGAAAAAATAAACCGACTGACTGAATAAAATGTGTCAAATTTTCGGGGAAAAAGTAGATGCTTCCAATGCCATAAGTACTGTAACTCGCACATTTCTTTTGTTTTATATGATGTTTTGGCTGGGTGGCTGTAGGAGTGTCAGGAGAGGGAGAAACGTGGCTTGAGTTGGGTCAAGGACTCATGCCCATATGGTTACTACCTCTTCAATTTTCAACATAAAGATCGACAAATTGCACCATTTGGAACGCTCTTCCTCTGGATATTAGGAAGCCACTGATATTAAAAACGGATTTCTTTAGAACTGCTTTTTGTGTTAGTTCGTTGTCCTTCCCCCGCACCATTGATTAGCAAGGTTGGCTATGTATGGTGCGAAAGAAGTTCAACATACATACATGAAGAGGAATCAAAGTGTTTATATGTCAGCATGTGTTGATAAATGAAATGTGATCTGAAATGAAAAAAATATGTTTAATGCAGCCACTAAGAGGTGACATGATTAAATGTAATAAATTTATCTTTCTGCCAGGCTCAGTATCAATATAACACAACCTTACATATGAAAATTACAATGAGTCATATTCACATGTTTTCATTTGGAGCCACTCCCACAAAGCAGATGCAAAGTTGTAACGGCCAGCGCAGTCAATTATACCATTAACATAAAACATTTTTTTTACAAACTTTCGTCACTGCTAAATGAAAGATTTTCCATGCCGTGGCAGTCATGGAGGTTGTTTGATCAAACTTCACCACATTGGTCAGTCCGGCTTGGCAAAAAGGGGGTCCCAGATATCACTGTTGTTAGCCATTGGCTGGAACCAAACTCAAGTGACCAATGAACTCCGGTGGCCAGGTTTGCCCAACTAACCACAGCACCACCACTCGCCGTGTATCCCATTATCTACACTTACAATCAGTGATCTCTGGTGATTCTCCTCCAAAGTGTGGGGATAATAGAAAAAGTTATAATTTATGAAATCATGATAAATGTTACCCATCAGTGCCTTTTCTACATCAAAGTCCATTTAACATTTTGCCCATGGGTGTGCGGATGCCTGGCAGAAAAGTAAATATATTCACAGTTAAGCTGAGCAGATTCTGAGAGGTTTTGAAGTGTAGATTAGTCACAGTAATATCAGTTTCTCTAAAAGCTGCAGCCAGACATCTCCTTACCACCACGTAGCCCGTCCTGAGAAACAAAACAACCCCAAGGATGTTGACGAGGCAGGATGTGAACACTCCCGTCCACGTGCCAAAGAGGGAAGGCTTCCTCGCAAGTAACTTGGCTTTCCACCACGCACCCCAAGCCCAAGCCTGTTGCAATGTGTTAAGTTATCGAGATCACCGATCGCTGACAGTACAGAGCAGAACAGCACAGCAAGTAAGCAGAATCTTAAATAAATCAAAAGGGGCGAATGTCACAATCGTACAGAGCATTTTAGTGTGTGCGGGCATCCGTCTCCAAGAAACGATGACGCGTGGCTATTACGTACTACTGCTCGCGTGCGTAACAACAGATTCACGGCACAGGCGACAGTGCGTGGGAAAGGAATCGCTTGCCTGAGTCTCTTCGTGGAAGAGGTCCTGCACCGTCCCATTCTCCTTGGTGGAGCCATAGCTGTCCGTGGCCTCGGCCTTTTCGTCGGCGTCGTCTGCAGCCATTGCCTTCGCCGTGGCGGCTGCGAGCAGGGCTGTCCTGTCACCCTGGTCTTCCCCAGACATGGCGACCTGAGGACGTGATGACCCTTGTGCCCGTGCGTTTATGCGCCGCCTCTGGAGTCGGGATGAACTCGGCCGATCATTCGCCGGTTTCTAAGGGTATGGGCTTCCATGGATACCTACAGAAAATAAAAAAAACAATTATATCTTGTTTATTAAATACAGCAAATGTATTATCATCAATGGGCAATCCGCTACTGGTTGAAGGTTTCCTCAATTTGTTGCAATCCTTCCTGGTCTCATAAAGAAACAATCCATTTAGCTCCTGCACACACGCTCATGTCATTGCTCCATCTCCACATGGTCATATTTTATGTTTAAATGGTAATTTATGCTTCTTGACTGTATTATTAACAACTTTCTTGTACAATGTACCACAAATTGTCATATACAATCATTTAAAGTCCAGAATTAATCCATATTTTAACACTGGCAACCATAAAAAGGAAATCGATACGCCTGAATATTTTGAACAGAAGATATATTCGATTCACGAAACATTGGGCTCCAATTATTTGTCAAACATTTGTTATGGTAATGTCAGCAGAACCAATTATGAGTATAAAATTATTCACATTTCAATTTTACATAGAATTGATATGTGATTTTGATCAAGGCTGTGGATATGTCAATCTAAGTATAAAATAATTGATTACCAACCGTGCTCTTGCCTGAAATGTTTTTTAAAAGAGTTTCTACCATCAATAGACAGAATCGTTGGAATATTGCCACGAAACATTAAAAGGATGACAAAAGCTCAATCACTATATACACAGCGGTGTCTATACCACCTCGCTTGGTTTTCGTTAATTTATAATTTACTTATTTATCCAGGAAAGCCACACTGAGTCGTATGGCTCTTTTTTAACGAGGGTCCTGCCACATTGGGTTTTTATTTCAAGATATTTCAGCTAATTAATGAGGAGTTTATACATATGGGAGGAAGCCGGAGCACCCGGAGTAAACCCACGCACACTCGTACAGATGGAAACAGATGGTGAATCAAATCTTGACTTGAAGCTTTCGTGACTGCAGGAATTCATTTTCTTTGAGTCTTTCGGTAAAGGCACGTAGATAGGTTGAAAGAAAATGACAAAAAGATAACAAAAAACTACGACGTTTCGATCACAACACAATCGTCTACTTGCTGTACTGCCTTGTCCTGGCGAGCCAGGGTACGGCACCTCAACGCCTACGGGAAGGGAGTTTCACAGCATTGTGCGATCCACCAATCCTTGCCTCCAAAGTGCTGATTATAGGCGTGCATATCCACTACAGCCCTAGTTTTAACAAATGTCCTAATGCAGAATATGGAAATTGTACAAATACTATACAGTATAGCAAAAAGTGGAATTTTCCAAAGTGTCTCCAAGCCCCAATAAAACACAGTTTTCATTTCAGCAAAATATTACCCAAATTGTTTCCTGTTTAAACATGAAAACAAAACAAGAAAATTGTCCTTGATATTCTATCATCAGTGACCATGAAGACCCTAAAAGCATTTCAACTAAGAGATAAAAATCCTCTTCCAAGCATAGAGCTTAAGAAGCGTCATTAGAATACACATCTGTTTGGAAATGAACCATAAAGCAAACACAATAAGTGAGCACAAATTTTTTCAGAACAAACCCAGTACACTCTGTACAATAATAAAACCCATTACAGTATTCAAATGCGCTTGTGAAGTAGTGGCGCAGTGGTTCCTGCACTGCACAACGAACTCCCCTGGACCAAAATTCGATTTCTGGCCACAGTGGTGAATGATATCTGAACCACTTCAACCTGCACTGACCAGCACGGTGAAGTATGGTCAAACAACTCCCATGACCAACACAGCATGGGGGAGGCCTTCATCCAGAAGTCCGCTGACAAACATTTTAAATTTAAAATGTTCATTATTAATGTCCATTACAAGGTTTTAAGTTCAATCTCAACATTTTATAATAGAATTACAGTGCTGTTCTACCCATACTAAAGTAGCAACTATTAACCACCATCCAGTATTGAACAATTGCACTGCATGGTCACCCGTTTGTGACTTATGGTGACAACCTAACATTTAACACCGTACCGCTGACAGGCAGTCCCTCGTGTAAAAAAATAAAGGTACACAAAATGAGCTCTTACCAAAATTGAGATGATGTTTCATTTTCGTGTGATGAGATCTTGAACCACTAGTGTCACGAACGGCCCATAAAAATAAATAAATACGAAAGGACAAAAATTCAGCTTGGGCAAGATAATGTCAGCGAAATGTTTAAAAGGGAACAGTCAGCTATTTTTTAACATGACTCCCGTCATGCATAGTCGCATTGCCGCACGATGAATCCATGGAACAGCCCCTGGGCCACTGCTGAGGCTTTGAAAACTCCGTCCACGACCTGGTCAAATGACGTTGAGATGTGGTTTGTTTCCAGGCAACTACATAGCCTGCGAAAGGGAGGGAGGGAGAAAGCCAATTCAGAACTCAATCACGGGCACAAGTGTCTCAGTCCGGCCACCCAATGCCACCCCACTCTACCCCCCAACCCCACAACACTTTCATGTAATCATCAAAGTGTTTAACATTTGCATTCTAGGTAGAACATTGGCTCGTCGAGAATAGTATTGTTATGGCAAACGAGTCGTGAAACAGAGTGACACAGCTCTCACTCAAGACAAGGGGGTGGTGCGTGTGACGATGACGACGTTGATGAATACGTCTGTATGCAGTGTATTTGTATTGCACTGAACAGGATGTTGATCTGCTGCTCCAGGCTAAGTGCCCTGGTTAAGGGGCTGACGACAGTGATGGGGGCCGACACCCACTGGAGTGAGACACAGCCCACACCTCCTGGGAGAATGTACAAATGCTACAATTGACCACACCAAACTGCATTTTCCACGAAACAGATTGACTTGCGCCACACACAGCACTGCATGTAGCAGTGTATTTTACAGTACAGTACGGTATGATGAAAATGCCACCTTTGAAACAAATGTTCACCAACAAATACTTCCATCATTAGCCTATCCACTGCTAGATGAAGGCCCCCACACGCCATCGATATCTCTCACGTTCCTGCAAGGCCACACTCCATCTCACTCTTCAACATGAACTGATTTCATCGCTCCATCTCCACAGTTGTCGAACTCCCGGACGCCTTCGTTCCTGAACTCATTTGGCTTTCATTGTTACTCATCTAGTCCAACGATCATCGTCACTGCCCAGGCCCGCCTACTTTCCTTAACAGTCACTGTGATGTCTCAATGCCCCCACGCGCCCCGATCAACCTGTTCATTTACAACACTCATCTACATGCATGGAAGAGTTATGGACGACACCAATATATAAGAAGAAACACAACATTTTGAATGGCAATGATGTTTGTAAAGTATCCAATAGGTTTGCGAAACAAATGGAGGTGCTTGTCGAGGCAACACAACTTGTGTTGAGTCAGGTCCAATTAATTCTAATTAAAGGTGGACTGGGGGCAAAATTATGAACGAAAGAGTTAGCAATAGCAGGTAGGAGTGCTTTTTGAAAGAAAAAAAAGCTCGATCATACTACTGAAAATACAGATGAGTTTCACTCAGTAAATATTACTTGGATCAGATACATGTACAGGAGGCAGATGGTTATGTCGCAGGGCTATTGAGGGATGTTGATGACATGGTGAGACCCTCATCCAACACTGGATAGAGCACCCTAACCCCATACATTATATCTCTGTACATTAGAATATCATATGATCCTATAGACTATTGTATGGGTATATTGATGTATGGAACAGCTGTGGTCATTATCCTTCTGCAGTATTCATACGATTGTCATGTATTTATGCACAATGCTTTTTGTCCCATGGAGAGTCTTGCATTGAAATGTTTGGCCATTTTCACGAGGGTTTAGCATATGGAAGGAAACCGGAGTACCCAGAGAACACCTACTCACGTGCAAGGGAGCAACACTCGAAAAGCCGTATGAGGTACAGGTTGAAGAATCTGTTCGTGTACTTTTGAGCACCTCGGAGCACAAGCCTATAACACCTGGTATTCACAGGCAGGCTCCCATCAGTCGACTAACCAGGCTACAACACGCTTAGCTTCCGAGATCTGACGAGCTCGGAATTCTTCTGGAGATAATGAAAACAATTGTTACACTGATAAGGCAGTACTCATTAGATATGTGTGGGTTTGGTGAGCAATTGTAATCCTTACAGTACTGTGCATTACAGTACAGTATCCACATATGCCACTAACATATGTTGAACAGCTAGCTACTCGAGTACTGAAATGTACCAACTTAAAAAAGAGCAGATGTCTTTGGAAAAGTCTAAGATAACCATTAACAACCGTTGCCTTTGCAACGTGAATTATAAAACACGACAACGGCAGCTAGCATGTTGTTAGGACACAGCGTTCATATCGTTCGATTGTATGCTGGGAAGACGGGCATGTGGCCGACACGTGTTTATTTAATTGATCATTTTACATATCTACACACACATAGCCGACTACGTATAACTTAGCACACGTTGACCGTTGCTAAATAAGTCGTTCATTACGACACGGGGTGGCCAATTTAAAAGAGAGGTATCCTGTTTCGTTTCGGGCCGTTCCGATAACGCCGTGCGGGTGAGAAATGTCAAACGCGACGCTTGCCTGCTGCTTTACAGACGCGACGCAATGTTCCACGTCACCCGCAAGAGTTGAGTGCTAAACCCTTCAAGCCGGGTCACACACACACACACACCGGGCTCGTTCAGCCCAGGTAGGTGTAAGCACATCCTCAAAACAGCAGCCATGCCGCCTGGGCAGGTGAAACCCCTTCACCGCTCATCTCGCCCACAACGCTTTAATTTGCGTGTGATACGACGAGGTGTTACTAGGGATGTCAAATTCACTCACCTGTCGGCTGGGGATCCCCACTGACTCTCACCACCTGTAACTGCACCTGTGCCTGGCCAACTTCCTGAGCGCGTCAGGTGTGGGTTGGGCTGTGACGGACTGGGTGGGCTGGTTTTACGTGATCTGGGCAGTGATTAGGTTAAGGTGGAATTGACGTGAGTGCTTTGACATGGGCTGGGCTGTTTAAAAAAAGTGTACGCTTGCTTACCCAGGAAAGCCTTACTCTGTATCTCAACTGTTTTTCAAGACCCTGCCAAGTTATTGCCGTAGGGGGCGTAGTCGCTGTCTAATCCCAAATGAATAATTTAAATCTAATTTGGTAACATTGGGATGTTTGACAAATACTAGTTCCATTGCATGATTTTTTTTTCCTGCGATTAGCTTACGGTGGAATGGGTCGGCTAATTTGACATGGGATGGGTTGCCACGGGCTCGGTCGGCTGGTTTGATATGGGTTGGGCTGTTTATGTAACGATGGGCTGCTTTGACATGAACTGGACAGTATAGTTAAGGTGAAATTATTTGGTTAGGTAGGCCGGTTTTACGTGGGCTGTGCTCTAATGGGATAGTTGGGCTGGTTTGACGTGGGTTGGGCTGTGTTGAAGTTGAGTTGGGATGTGATGGGCTACGTGGGCTGTTTCAGGCATTGCCATTCTATGATGAATTGTGATGTAAAGAGTTGTAGATGGACAATATGACATGGGATAAGTTGTGCCGGGCTATAATGAGGCTGCATTTGGATGAGCTATAATAATGTGCTGGATTCTAATAAAGTGAGTTAGATATCCTGCACATGTTAGGCTAGGATGTGTTGGGCTGTAATGACATTGGGGTGGTCTTGTATAGACTGGACTGATGACGTTTAGGTGAGATAGGCAATGATTGGCTTTGAAGTGAGATTGGCTGATAATCTCAGGCAATCGGGGAATGACCTCTGTGCACGCCGCTATGTACACTTCGCTTTCACTCTGAAAATATCTGCGCGTGTGTTTGTGCGGCCAAAGACACTAATGGATCGAACTGAAAAAAATATGCATAAACTGTATATTGGAGACGAAGAGTTTTGAAAGCGTTTCAGGAAATTAACACTCGGCCAAGACTAATATATGACAGTAACGTTTCCATTCGCTAGCTGTAGGGAACAAACGCAAAGCTGCCCAGCTGCTCTTTGTGCCGAGAGCATCCCAATGATAACCGCAAACGCGTTCACACCAACACGCGGGCAGCAGAGGGCAGTGCATTCAAATCCATTGCTGTGCTGTACTTCCATGTTCCCACTGACCACCGTTAAGTATGGTCAAATAACAAGCAATGCGTGTGGAGGCTGTCATCTCGCGGTGGGTTTACAAAGGGCTCGACGTACAAATACATCGATGTACAACACCGACCCGAGGTTCACACAATGACTGGCGAGTCACATGTTACCTATGCGGCACCACAAGGGTGCTGTGATCACCCAACTTGACATACTCTGGTGAAAGGAGGGATGTTAATTGACTTTAATTTGAACACGCAGCCTTTCGCGGCCAATATTAGTCGTAACAAAGGCTTTTGGGTAGATCGTATAAATGTGTCGTTAACCCGTCACCACCCGACACCGCCAACTAGTAAGGTTTGCCATGTAAACAAAACTTGCCAATTAGTTACTACTTTAACCCTCCAGTGTGTTGGAGAGTATATCCACATTTACAATTTGAGCAAGACGTTTCGCTGGTCATTACATCCAGCATCATCGGGCGATTTTTGCCAGAATTCTGGCATATCGCCCGATGGATTTACTCTCCAAACCCATCGCAGTGTCTCCAAGCCCGTCTCCATTGATCTTCAGGCTGCCCGTGGCAGTTCCCAGGTATGATCTGTCAGGTGTAGTTGCAGGGAGCAGCGGGGCCCTAGCGACGCTTAATGCGCCCTGGCCTTGTGCTCTGACGAAGATGGCGTCTCCACGAGATGGATTCCGTCTCGTGGCCTTTTTCTGGAAAATCTTCCTCCGAAAGACGTCAATTCTCGTTACTGTCATTGGAAGATGCTACTATCTGCTAGAAGATTTCTTATGAGAAGGGCTTCCTAAACTTACCTTAAACACACGATAAGCCACTTCGTTGAGTTACCATTTGTGGCCAGGTCGCTTCTGAAAAAACAGGACCCTGCGGGGTGGGCTGGTAGGAATAATACTTAGTACCGGTACAGAGATATCGACCGGGTATAGAGGAGTTAAAGAAAAAAATACTGTATTCTAGTGTAACGTTAATTAAAAGTGTTTGTTTTGACAAGAAACGCTGTGAGATTTATAGACTCGTAGTCTTTCATTTCCAACACCACCCTCAACACCACCCCTCCCACGGACGGACGGACGGACGGACGGACGGACGGACGGACACATTAATCTATTGGTGGTCTGGTCCACTTCGTTCCTACCAGTATAACCCCCCCCAATCACTCGCTCGTGATCAATATACCCCCCAATCACTCGCTCGTGATCAATAACCCCCCCAATCACTCGCTCGTGATCAATAACCCCCCCAATCACTCCCTCGTGATCAATAACCCCCCCAATCACTCGCTCGTGATCAATAACCTCCCCCAATCACTCGCTCGTGATCAATAACCCCCCCAATCACTCGTGATCAGTAACCCCCCCAATCACTCGTGATCGATAACCCCCCAATCACTCGTGATCAATAACCCCCCAATCGCTCGTGATCAATAACCCCCCCAATCACTCGCTCGTGATCAATAACCCCCCCCAATCACTCGCTCGTGATCAATAACCCCCCCAATCACTCGCTCGTGATCAATAACCCCCCCAATCACTCGCTCGTGATCAATAACCCCCCCAATCACTCTCTCGTGATCAATAACCCCCCCAATCACTCGCTCGTGATCAATAACCCCCCCAATCACTCGCTCGTGATCAATAACCCCCCCAATCACTCGCTCGTGATCAATAATCCCCCCAATCACTCGCTCGTGATCAATAACCCCCCAATCACTCGCTCGTAATCAATAACCCCCCAATCACTCGTGATCAATAACCCCCCAATCACTCGTGATCGATAACCCCCCAATCACTCGTGATCTATAACCCCCCAATCACTCGTGATCGATAACCCCCCAATCACTCGTGATCAATAACCCCCCCAATCACTCGTGATCAATAACCCCCCAATCACTCGTGATCAATAACCCCCCCCCAATCACTCGTGATCGATAACCCCCCAATCACTCGTGATCGATAACCCCCCAATCACTCGTGATCAATAACCTCCCCAATCACTCGCTCGTGATCAATAACCCCCCCAAGCACTCGCTCGTGATCAATAACCCCCCCAATCACTCCCTCGTGATCAATAACCCCCAATCACTCGCTCGTGATCAATAACCCCCCAATCACTCCCTCGTGATCAATAACCCCCCCAATCACTCGCTCGTGATCAATAACCCCCCCAATCACTCGCTCGTGATCAATAACCCCCCCAATCACTCCCTCGTGATCAATAACCCCCCCAATCACTCGCTCGTGATCAATAACCCCCCCCAATCACTCGCTCGTGATCAATATACCCCCCAATCACTCGCTCGTGATCAATAACCCCCCAATCACTCGCTCGTGATCAATAACCCCCCCAATCACTCGCTCGTGATCAATAACCTCCCCCAATCACTCGCTCATGATCAATAACCCCCCAATCACTCGCTCGTAATCAATAACCCCCCCAATCACTCGCTCGTGATCAATAACCTCCCCCAATCACTCACTCGTGATCAATAACCCCCCCAATCACTCGTGATCGATAACCCCCCAATCACTCGTGATCAATAACCCCCCAATCACTCGTGATCAATAACCCCCCAATCACTCGTGATCAATAACCCCCCAATCACTCGTGATCAATAACCCCCCCAATCACTCGCTCGTGATCAATAACCCCCCCAAATCACTCGCTCGTGATCAATAACCCCCCCAATCACTCGCTCGTGATCAATAACCCCCCCAATCACTCGCTCGTGATCAATAACCCCCCCAATCACTCGCTCGTGATCAATAACCCTCCCCCAATCACTCGCTCGTGATCAATAACCCCCCCAATCACTCCCTCGTGATCAATAACCCCCCCAATCACTCGCTCGTGATCAATAACCTCCCCCAATCACTCGCTCGTGATCAATAACCCCCCCAATCACTCGTGATCAATAACCCCCCCAATAACTCGTGATCGATAACCCCCCAATCACTCGTGATCAATAACCCCCCAATCGCTCGTGATCAATAACCCCCCCAATCACTCGCTCGTGATCAATAACCCCCCCCCAATCACTCGCTCGTGATCAATATACCCCCCCATCACTCGCTCGTGATCAATAACCCCCCAATCACTCGCTCGTGATCAATAACCCCCCAATCACTCGCTCGTGATCAATAACCCCCCAATCACTCGCTCGTGATCAATAACCCCCCAATCACTCGCTCGTGATCAATAACCCCCCCAATCACTCGCTCGTGATCAATAACCTCCCCCAATCACTCGCTCATGATCAATAACCCCCCCAATCACTCGTGATCAATAACCCCCCCCAATCACTCGTGATCGATAACCCCCCAATCACTCGTGATCAATAACCTCCCCAATCACTCGCTCGTGATCAATAACCCCCCCAAGCACTCGCTCGTGATCAATAACCCCCCCAATCACTCCCTCGTGATCAATAACCCCCCAATCACTCGCTCGTGATCAATAACCCCCCAATCACTCCCTCGTGATCAATAACCCCCCCAATCACTCGCTCGTGATCAATAACCCCCCCAATCACTCGCTCGTGATCAATAACCCCCCCAATCACTCCCTCGTGATCAATAACCCCCCCAATCACTCGCTCGTGATCAATAACCTCCCCAATCACTCGCTCATGATCAATAACCCCCCAATCACTCGCTCGTGATCAATAACCCCCCCAATCACTCGCTCGTGATCAATAACCCCCCCAATCACTTGCTCGTGATCAATAACCCCCCCAATCACTCGCTCGTGATCAATAACCCCCCCAATCACTCTCTCGTGATCAATAACCCCCCCAATCACTCGCTCGTGATCAATAACCCCCCCAATCACTCGCTCGTGATCAATAACCCCCCCAATCACTCCCTCGTGATCAATAACCCCCCCAATCACTCGCTCGTGATCAATAACCCCCCCCAATCACTCGCTCGTGATCAATATACCCCCCAATCACTCGCTCGTGATCAATAACCCCCCAATCACTCGCTCGTGATCAATAACCCCCCCAATCACTCGCTCGTGATCAATAACCCCCCCAATCACTCCCTCGTGATCAATAACCCCCCCAATCACTCGCTCGTGATCAATAACCCCCCCAATCACTCGCTCGTGATCAATATACCCCCCAATCACTCGCTCGTGATCAATAACCCCCCAATCACTCGCTCGTGATCAATAACCCCCCCAATCACTCGCTCGTGATCAATAACCCCCCCAATCACAGAAATGCCAAACCCTCCCACGGACGGACGGACGGACGGACGGTCGGACGGACGGACGGACGGACGGACACATTAATCTATTGGTGGTCTGGTCCACTTCGTTCCTACCAGTATAAGCTAACAACTCAATGGGCTTTAACTGGTAAAATAATAAGTTAGTTTAATTGTATGTTGTTTAATGATTTGCTTACCTTTCCCATACTTTGCACTCCTATTGTATTTTTTATTGTTGTAACGTTCTGACCCACCGCTACTGAACATCCGTGAAGAAGAGCTTTATCGCTCATCGGATTCCTCCTCTATAAATACATATTCTGATATTTAAACTTTCCAGGTTCTCTCGAGAAGGAGCTTCCAGGAGTTGTGGGATTGTTCTTATTTTTATATTTATCTCTGCCGTTCCACCAGAAGTACCTTCTCCCCATGGAGGTTTAATCTCCGGGTCTGTCTGGGCCAAGCGGAGGGACAGGTACGACACTACGCGTGTAATACGACAAAATAGTCCCCTTTTTTAAATAGTGAGTGGGTTGTTTGATCGTACTCGGGATTGGCGATGGGTGTTCGCAAGGCTGGATTGGTGATGCGGGACTCTCAGGATCGGTTCAGATACCACGCGCCAGAAATCTCAGCCTTGACCAAGAATCGAACTCCAGTAGCCGGATTCACAGTTCGATGGGCGAACCACACATTTCAAAATATATATCTAATCTTACACGCGCGATTCGGTGCATCTATCATGAGTGCAATTAATGGGCATGAATCTATTGGTGCACGGTTACTTGCCCGAATCCATCGAGTGTATGTTAGCAAACACATTATTCGGTGACACTGTACTGCGTTGGGAGTGGTGCACAGGCATGTATGTGCTATAATGCATGTGCCGTGAGAAGGAACACGCGCCTCGAAACGTCGCACGTGTGTTGAGTTGTTTTTTATTTGTCGTCGCTTCTGTTGGACACGTGGTCGCGCGCACGGGAGGGATGTGGGCGTAGCTGCAGGCCGCGTCACAAGGGAGGGCGCGACCCCGTGCTCAGAGGACGCTGCTGCCACCGCAGGCACCAACAGCACATACCACCATTCACTGCAGGCAGTAGCACCAACAGCACATACCATCATTCACTGCAGGCAGTAGCACCAACAGCACATACCATCATTCACTGCAGGCAGTAGCAGCACCAACAGCACATACCACCATTCACTGCAGGCAGTAGCACCAACAGCACATACCATCATTCACTGCAGGCAGTAGCAGCAGCACATACCATCATTAACTGCAGGCAGTAGCAGCACCAACAGCACATACCACCATTCACTGCAGGCAGTAGCACCAACAGCACATACCATCATTCACTGCAGGCAGTAGCAGCAGCACATACCATCATTAACTGCAGGCAGTAGCAGCACCAACAGCACATACCACCATTCACTGCAGGCAGTAGCACCAACAGCACATACCATCATTCACTGCAGGCAGTAGCAGCAGCACATACCATCATTAACTGCAGGCAGTAGCAGCACCAACAGCACATACCACCATTCACTGCAGGCAGTAGCAGCACCAACAGCACATACCATCATTCACTGCAGGCAGGCACCAACAGCACATACCATCATTCACTGCAGGCAGTAGCAGCAGCACATACCATTGCCGCAGGCAGTAGCAGCAGCACATACCATCATTAACTGCAGGCAGGCAGCAGCAACAGCAGCAGCACATACCACCATTCACTGCAGGCAGGCAGCAGCAACAGCAGCAGCACACACCATTGCCGCAGGCAGTAGCAGCACGTATCAATCTTGCAGGCAGCAGCAGCACGTATCAATCTTGCAGGCAGCAGCAGCAGTACATACCGTTGCTGCAGACGGCAACAACAGCAGAAGCAGGAGGCATTCTTCAGGCAGGGACAGCAGCAGCAGCAGCATCAGGAGCAGCAGCAGCAGCAACAGCAGCAAGGCGTGATCTTTGGACATCACCACAGTACTGTATTCTGTGATGGTCACGTCGTACTTTGTTTGATGCGAAACTTGATGAACTATTATGGACGAAACTTTCTTTGTCGTAACCGTGAGCGTGTTCGCCTGCCTGCCTGCCTGCGGTGTTGCGTGGCGTGTGCGAGTCCGGCGAACGGCGTTGAGAGGCGCTATTGGTAGAAAACACAAACGCGGTGTCGCAACGATAGACGCCTTGAAGTTTTCACACCGCGGTCGATGCGCAGCGCGTTCCTTTCCCACGCCGATGTCTCTCCTTCAGCCGGGTTGACAGGCGCCGTCACTGTCGCACACACGACGAACTGAGCGGGCACGGGTGCCTGCCGAGAGGCATTGATGATGATGATGATGGTTGCGGCAAACTCTTCGTGGTCACTTCTCAAAACTAATTCTGAGCAGTCGGTGTTTCCGTTGTACTCGGACTGTTAAAAGCACGCGACAACACAAAATACTCTCACGCGCACACACACACGTATACCCACCCACGACCGGCTCTGTTTATGTTTAACAGCTCTGATATTTGCATTCCTTAAAGCCAAGCGCGCTCACTCGACCCTGCGCACAGACGCGCGTTGCTGGTGGAGCTGCAGCGCGCGTGCGTCTCCGTGTCGGAGTGACACGGACAAGACAAAGAGCCCCCGTGTAGCCTTCACAGACTATTTGGGGCAAGTGCTGTTAGCGAGTAGCACCCACGAAGGCCGGAACGGCGCACGAGACGGTGTGTGGGTGGCCAGTGTCACGCCCGGTCGCCTTTGTCTCCCGTAGTGGCGACGTTTAGGCGCCGTACCGGGTACTCATTTGAGGCTGAGTCGACCTAGGGGAGGGAGGGCCAGGACCGGTTCAGATAATCGTCAGCGGCGTTGGCCGTGAGCGGGCGCCGGGTTCGTAGCGCAGCAGCGTAGCGGCACCCGCTACCCCTACCCGTGGTCACACACGCCCACCTGAAGCTCAACTCACTCACTCTTTTTGTTCGCAATGTGTTTGAAAACCCACGCAATGTCCGTTCTCTCGCCTCTCCGCAGTGGACCACACACCTGGCTAGCCGCTCGGCATTGAGTGCGTGTTTACCTGGCTGGCCACATCGCTTCGCCGTGTCAAAGAATGCAGGGCAGAGACGACGTGCCCTGGACGTGAGTCAACGGTTGCATACCGGGCACACAGCAATGTTTCCATGCCTGGTTTTTCTCATTGGTGCCTCCTGTCTAATTCACGTAATCGATGTGCTTTGAAACGTGGACGATGTCCAAAACGTCGTCCAATTATAGATATGTTTTCCTCCTTTGTGCAGTGCTTTTGACTAACGTGTCGGGTTTGTTTTTTTGTAATTTGTGCTCGCATGCGCTCCTGCCAAGGTAGTGTCGCCAACTAAGTTATTGAATAAAAGTAAGCTCATTTCAACAAACGCTGCTTGATTTTTTTTATCGCCGTTTTTTGGTCGCAGCGTTTGTGTAAAAGGCCTTGTATTCTTTCAACAAGAAATGCACCTTTTGCATTCACTTTGTATATCAGTTGCGAGATCTCGCGTCGTCTTCTTTGTAGTTCTTCATACCTTTACTCCCACTCATCTCTTTGATGCCATCACTCCCTTCTCCTGCCTCTGTGTCTGTGAACTTTATCTCATCTTCCATCCTCCCCTCTCCTCCTCCTCGCCCGTTGCTGCTGCTCACGCCTCCTGGCAGATCCTCGCCTTAATTGCCTCTTTCTCTTACTCGTGACTACCTGCCCACGGTTTAAATGCACGCCAACCCGCATCATCTATTGCTGAAGACTGCTAAAGTTATTTTTCTTTTGCGTAGACATTCATTTTATATATTTTTTTACATAATACAATGCATACTACTGTGGTGTCAGAATCAGAATATGTATTTATACTGGAGGAATCCGATGAGCTTTAAAGCTCTTTGTCACATACTTTTAATCCAAAGGTAGGCCGTCCAATCCCCCAGGTGCGGCAGTTGGAATAATTGGTGCGGTTCTTAAATTTCCCTCCCACCTCTGTCTATGCAGCAGTAAAAATGTATACATATTGGAAGGTTGTAGGTGGTGGAGTCAAGTGTGGGTACCCCCACCTCTTCCACTATACTTGGCCAGCGTGAAAGAGTAGGCCAAAATACCCCCGAGAACAGCGAGTATCTTGGGCTCCCTCTTGAGGCCCTTTCACCAGCGGTGGCGAGAAGCAAGTAATTGTAACTGCAGGGCTGCATTTTTTTACTTTTAGAGTAATGTATAGTTTTTTATTTATATTCCTTAGTTGTTCTTTCTCAAATGACCATTAGGGTGATTCAGAGCTAGAAATAAATTCCAAGTTCCCATGGCAGGGACCAGTCTCACGTAAGACGGCTTGTGTTGACGTTCTACAACGTGGTGCTGTGCGTTTTACCCTTGGGAGATGATTGGCTGAGTTCCGTTGTATATACTGTATGTGTCCCTTATTTCATCTCAGTAACAGTGCATAGCCCTATCGTGACTGCGCAGCTGCTAGAGATAACGTTGGTTTTTTCTGTGTTAAAGACGGCTGCGTTATGTTTTAAATTAGGCAACGTTAGTTTAGCCTTCATTCGATCGCATTGGGACACTGCACTTGACCCTGAAGATGTGGTAAATTTCAAAAACATGTGATTTAATTCTCTGACAAGAAACCCAAAACATTTGTTGTACTCGCATTGAAAAGTTTCTTATAATAAGTTGTATATGTTTAATCGTAATGCACGTATTAATGTGTGTACATTCACGTGAATATGAAAGCCTTTAAACTAAAATAAACTAATGACCAGATAAATTAAGAGTTGCCATGCCTCCCAGTTTAAATGACATTTTTCATGTTGACCCACGTGCACCTAGTTTTGTACTAATTTAAGAGAGAAAATGAGGCATTTTGTTTTCGATATACAGTCCATAGTTGTAAAATAACGTGATCTGGCAGACTACTTCGGGGCATTTTTCAGAGGTTTTGTCATTGGATTACCTTTGAAAAGATGCCCAGTATTTTACGATGAAAAGATGCCCAGTATTTTACGATGAAAAGATGCCCAGTATTTTACGATGAAAAGATGTCCCAGTATTTTACGATGAAAAGATGTCCCAGTATTTTACGATGAAAAGATGCCCAGACATTTCCACGAGAAAATGCATCTGCAGATTTTAGTTTTGCGTGGCAACTCTCACTCCCTCAATGGACTAATGTTCCACGTCACAATTCACATCTTTATTTCATTGCGACAATGATGTGTTACCGTTGGTGAGAGCATGCAAAGCTGCTTACTTCACAGATGAAAAAAAAGGTTACTTGCAGCCCTTTGTCAATCCACTGTTGGACAAAGGTCTCCCGACAAAGTGGGGGTTGTTTGACCATAATTCGTCAAGCTGGTCAATGTGGATATGTGGAAGATAAGGTCCTAAACAAGTTAAAATATTTCTCCCCACTGATGATGTTATAGCCGTGGCAGGGAATTGAAGTGAAGTGCAGGGTTTATCGTTCAGTGCACTAACCACTGTGCTACCACTCCACTGCACCCCACAGTTAGAAAATATTGAGCTCAAATTAAGAAGGCTTTAAATTATGTTTTGTCAATTGATGTGGCAAAAAAAAAACTCTTCCGAGCTATGCCCAAACTCGTATTTTGTGTACGTATATGACACATAGCTTAAAAAGCATGCAAATAGGTGGCTGAATGGCATGGATAGTTAATACTTGGGGTGTAAAGAAACGTCGATGAATCAATTTAAAGTAGAATGCTACGTCCATGATACATGCAACGAATCGTGTGTCTAAGAATCGGTTATTTTCCACTAGCCGAGAGGGTGCTACATCTACTACAATGGTAAGAATAAGAATCGATTCTTGAAGTGAATTACAATCCTTAAAGCTGACAATTCGTTGAATGGTGAGCGGGGCAAATTATTGCAGGCCTAGCTAATACTGATGTGGTAACGTGTTGACTTCATGGAAAGGTTAGATAAATGTAGCTGCCTATTCTAAAAATTAAAAGCTGAGATTGTCTATACCTATTATCACCAGGCACTGCCATATTGCAAGTGAAAAATACACGAGAAACGTTATTTTCTGGGCAATGACCTTTCATCACAATTAAAGGGAAAAAGGTTTGAAAAGGCTTTGATGTACAGCAAGTTTGGTGGTCTGACCTCAGTCTCAAAGAATTAAGCACAACTATTTTCACAAAAAAATGTCAAATGTATCAACTCTCATTGCCAAAAATACAGCTCTGAGAAACGTATAAATAGTTGATTGACTGGACACTGTTCTGCTGTTGCTATATATGAAATGGAGCTGGATAGTCAGGAGGAGAATCTACCATATGTTGGCAGAAGTTCTATAATGCCTGAATCAGAGTTTTACACTGCTTGATCTAGAGACTGTATGCTCCAGAAAATAACATTTTATTATATTATCTTTTTCATTTTATTCCAGAGTTTCTGCATTGAAAATCATTCAATTTATTCTTAGCAATTTTCAAAATAACCCCTTAATTAATTTGTCACTGGAACACATCCTACATTGTGGTAGTACAAACATTTTCCTTTAGCTTTTAAACAGATTTTCCTTAAAATATGTAGCTGATATATTTTTCAGCGAATATATTCGTTGGTGAGTTGGCGAAGCATTGTGACTTCCAAAAAAAACATACAAATTATAAAAAAAATATTGTGCGGTACACACTGTGCTAAAAAAAAACTACGTAAGAGGTTGGGAATCCGACACTGATTACATCCACCTGTTGAACGTTTATTTTGGCCAGAGGCTCCTTTAGAACACCTAGAGCCAGGCAATTCTAGGGATAGCTTCCCGGAGAGGCACCTGTATCTAACAATGCTCTTGCGAGTACGTGGTTTCTACCAAGAGGATAGTAGATTCACAACAAATAAGGAGGTGTAAACACAGACGGCATGCCCTTGACCGATACCTATTTTGTGACTGTGCAGGCTGCTTTGTTAATGTATGTAGGTCAATGCTGGAATGTGGGTGGTCTATGGTGGCATGCGCAGTAGGAGACGCATGTATGACCCGATTGGTCAGAGAAATGTATTCTAGTTTATTTTCTCTCGTGAAATTTTGGGCCCATCTTGTGTTGTTCTTTCATCCTCCTCCTCCAGTTGGAACCAATTGGTCACTGTTCACTTAGTAGGGGAATGCAGGTTGCATGCCAAGATGTCAGGTAACTTACACCGTTCATTTCCTGTGTAATAATAGCCACCCAGCTCCATGGGCAAAACCGGCGGTTTACCCTGGCCCTATCTTGACTGCTATTTAATCAAAATGAGGCACTCATCCATCATTTGGCTTAAATGCACAACAACACAAATTTTGGTATTGTTATTTTATCACTTAATTGCAGTTGTAATGATACTTTACTTCACTTGCCCAGTTCCGACACAAGTGTGCGATTCGTCATGAAGCTTATTTATCATTCAGACTACAATAAATGAAACAATACATTACTGTCAAGTTATATACAGTATAAAGTCATAAGCCAGCCAATAATTTGTAGAAAACAGTTATGTCATGAAGGTATTTGGTTCAAAGTACTGATTAACAGCTTTTTCGCTAAAAAAAAAAGCAGAACATTTTGCATTCGAACTTTGTAGCATGGGGCATATTTAAAAATGATTAATTTCTGTACAAACAAGGTTAAATATTTATGTTTTGCTTTTCAAAGCACACAGAGTAATTAACAAATGCAAGTGTTTACACCAGTACGCAGACGAGACGTGTTAACGATGCGTCGATTCATCAATTGGTATGAATTTTTAAGCTCCACAACACATGCATTCAGTTGTACCTGTTAAACCAATTACTCCTCTTGATTCATGTGCGGTGTACGGTACTGTAATGAGCTCACGGCAAACCCCTCCAGCTATTAAGAGGCCAGCGAAGTCGAATCGAAAACCTGAAACAGAAAGTACTGTAACCGCGTATTGCCATTAACCGAAAGCAACGTTCATAACAAAAATGTTGCTCCAGAATGGAAAAAAGGGATTCGGTTACAAGTTTTAACCAGTTTATATATATACAGTACAAGGACTACTTGCGAACGAGTTAGGTTCCAGAGGTCTGTTCGTAAGTCGATTTGTTCGTAAGTCCGAACTTTACTCATGTCGAGTCCAAACATGT